GTAGCTCTCATCCTGTAACCACACTTAGGTAATTACACTTAGGTAATTACACACACACACACACCAACCCATATCTGCCACCCACCACCCTCCTCCTTATGCAAACTCACATACACCCACACCAGCCACCCACCACCCTTGACACCCACACCTCATTTGACCTTTACTCACTAAAGTAACAGAGTTCCAAACCTAAAAATTAAAGAAGTTGGACTGGGGGATAATTGATACATATTTACTTCGTCTTACAAACAAAAACCACAACATGAGAAGTTTGTAGTTTGGCTTGGTTTACCAACTAAAGATAAGTCTTTATGTTACTTGCGGCAGCCAGCTTCAACGGTGCTTAACCTGACAGACCTGGCGACAAAGGTACTACGAGCTCACCATAGCCCGTGCTACTTGGAACTGCGTTCCAGGTAGCAAATCTTTAACAACAACAACAACCTGGCGACAAGTATATAACAAACTCTGATTATTATTATTGAGAAACTTAATACAACGCCGTAGTGCTTGAATGATGACTCAATAAATGTGTAAGCTTATTACAAGAACAGTTTTCGGATGTAGCCTACATCCTTTCTCACGGTGCTGTGTACAATGTTAATACAGTAAGAACATTGTATACAGCACGATACCATTAATGGTGTTCTCTGAATTCCGGCATTTTTTCCACATTGCATTATATAATGACGCTCGCCGGCGGCGGATTTAATAAGCATTTGGCTTATGTTTATGAGGAATAATGCCCAGCGAGAGGTTTTTGCTGCGTTATTTTGGGTCGCAGTGTAAACTTGTCTGGATCAAATTAGCACAGAGACTGCGTCCTTGTTCCCGGGTGACAGTGACGGGTTTCATGTGGTAGTGTGAGCCTGAACAACTGGCATGCCTCCACACATGCAGCAGTCAGAGTTAGTTGCACTATAACTTGCCATTAACACACTGAAAAACAGTGGAGGAGTAATTTTTCTGTGATTCAAAGTCAGCTTTTCAAGCACTTGAAAACCCAACATGCAAATTAATTACTAAGAATGTTTTAACATCCACTGTAAACATCATTTATATACAGAGCAAGAATTTCAATCTCCTTTATATGGATACCATCTCACATAGGTTCAGCGTGATAACACGAACACGGCCGATAAGGCTGAATGTGACAAGCTTGAAGCTCGATCTAGACATTCCAATCTCTGCTGTAAAAGCAGCAATATTCCAAGATATTAGAGATGGCAGAAGAGCAATCACTGACACTCAAAGATCAGAAAGGACGAGAATAAGGAGTTGTGATGTGTTTAGATCCGAGAACAATAAGTACGGACAGTACAAAACATCCACTAGACAGTGTGATATTGTACTAGGCTGGGATATCGATATCTATGGCAGGTGGCTACAAGTAATCAATCTCCTAATGGTGAGCATTCCATTTGTAAACTATGTGAACGAAAGCAAGTATAGTATATACTCTCCAACATTGTATCTGTAATTGCCCCGTTATCAAATATTTCAGACCAAATGGTACGAGATACTTTCAACTCTGTAACTACTTCATACACTCACGCATATTATTGTGCTGGAATATATTCTTGTGCTCTACCCAGAGTTTGCTAGTGCACGGTAATAGGGTAGACTTACATTTCAAGTGCTCTCTTGATTCCACGAATGACTAACCATATAGTTAGAGATCTGTTATACATATCGTTCAACGATTTATTTGAATAAACAACAACAGGTTATTGTAATGCTTTTAAAATGCTAAAATACATAAATTTACGTTTGTCTTACATAAACGGTGTTCGAGGTATGTTCTTTTATACATACTATGATTAATGAGCGTTTACAAAAGTGAAATGCAATTCTGACTAGCTTACACATATATTGCCCGAAACGCAATGCGTACTAGTGGCTTTAGGTATTGTATGTACTATCTCTATCTTTAAATCTAACATTATGTATGTAACTCAGTGAATATACCTTTACTTGAATAACAAAATCTAAAATATATATACAGTACATTATATTGTATATAATTTATAAATTGATTATATCTCTCCTACTGTGATGCTGCTATAGAAAATATGGTGTTATTAACAATTTAACCACAAAGGGTAATTAATGTAGCTGGAGTGAGTGTCAAGGAGGGAGTATACAGATCACGCGCTTGAGTGTGTTGCTGGAATGAGTGCCAAGGGGCAGAGAGGTACACGTCGCCCTTGAGCGTATAGCAAGAGTGAAAAGCGCGGGCGTGGCAGGGAACATTTTTAGCCCTAGGCTACCGCTGTCGGGCCGCCCTCAGCTGCTCCTTTAAATCTTACTGGTGGCAAAACCAGCACTTAACACACCCTTTAGGATTTGTTCTGGTAATACCGTGATGTCCCTCAGATCTTCCGTGAGGGACTGCCTGTTACTAGAACGACTCGTGTAGAGCAAGTTCAGTTTCTCTGTGAAATTCTTTACCAATAAATCTTACTGCAATTGACACGTTTGTTTCGGAAACTCTCTAAGATGTAAATAAAAACAAAATAGGAATGCCTTAATTCTTCCTTAACATAGTTCATTTTAAATAAGTAAACACAGCGAAATTATAGTTTCGTCACGGTAAATTACCGTAATAAAATTGTTTTATATAATTATTATTATTATTATTATTATTATTATGGTTTTAAGTCTCTTGTGAAATTTACTTTTTGAGTTTGCAAGCAAGAACAATACAGTATCTGTAGGAATAACGAGCTATTGTACTTTAATTTAATACTATTGAGTGTAGTTAGACATTTGCTAACAGTATTGTACGCGATTTCTTGCAAGATAAGAAAGTGACTTTGTATAAATCCACAACACAAACAATCATCTTGAATTTTGTCCTCTTTTTTTTTTTTTATTAAGCTATGGAACCACCAGTTAAGAAAGCTATAGTCAAACAGGCCCGTGTACTATAATTTGGCCCGTGATACTGGCCCGTGTTATATAATTTTTAAGGCTACAACTGAACATGAGCGCAGGTCTCCTAACCTTAAAAATAACGAAGTAAACAAATCCAAACGGAACGTTCTTTAAAGAAATCATATATTTAACATGCAGAGCGCATCCGATTCCTTGATCGCCGTCGCCCCTCAAAGTATGTCGAATAAGGATTGTACTACTAGGCTGCCATGGGGAGTGAGAGATCACACAAGATACTGGTTGCACGATAGAATACTGAATTATCGATATCAAGCTCTCTATTCAAGCAAGCTATGAGAGAGCTTGATATTGATAACGTGTATTGTCTGCAGGATGTGTATAGCCCACAGAATGGTATAACCTAAATGATTGGTATAACCCCCACAGGACTGATTTAGCCTACAGGATGGGTATAAAATTCACAATAGATGAACTAGCCTAAACTAAAAATGGTTAGGCTGTGACGTCACGATTTTCACTTATTCTTGACAGATTAGGCTATGCGTTAAGTTTAGGCCTAGCGATCACCAGGTTCAATAAGTTAATTTGGTTCATTTATTCTTTAAATCAACAGAATTAACGATTCAAGTCACTGAATATAACATAAGAAATGCATCTTTTTAGTACATAAGTGATATGGTGGAGATACGAAAGAGATATATATGAATTGATTATATATATATATGTTTATTAAGGAGCTAATCAAATATGGCGCTGTTGTGATTGATAAGATCCAGTGCCAGGGAGTAATACAAGAGGAGGTAGGGACCTCAGACGTCGATTACTATCTGAAATACTTGTGTATGGACCGTTAGTAGGTGTTGGGAGGTAGTTGTGTGTTTGTTGGTAGTGGTGCGTGTGTGTGTGTGTGTGTATGTGTGTGTGTGTGTGTGTGTGTGTGTGTGTGTGGGGTGGTGGTGGTGCAGCCACCACCACACACGGGGGGGGGGGGGGCAGATATCAATGGTGGGGGTGGTGGTGCTGGTGATAATTGTATAGTTTGGCGGTACTTGCAACTCGACAATACCACCCCCGTCACTTGCAGGATACACCACCAACTTCGCGAATATGACACCACGTAAACTAACCCACCACTGCGAATATGAATCATCACCCACCACCACCATTCCCCAGTACCCACCAACAACAGTACCACCACACCCATTACTTCGACTACACCCGATTATATCACTACACCCCAGCCCCCTCCAATACCACTACCATCACACCCACCAACATCACTGACCCCCTTCCCCCCTCACCACCACCACCCCCTCACCACCACCGCCACAGAGGTGACCAACTACCACGATCCGTTACATCAAGGAAGTGGGTCCAGCAGTATGACTCAAAGTTAAGCTGCTGCTGCTGCTGCTGCTAGTTCTTAAACATTAGACACAGCGCTCTTCTCACCGCCTGTACAGCAGTATGCAATGTTTTCTTAACCTTTAGGCTCTGAAGTTGTCACTCGTCTCTCTTATGGTAATCAACACCTCTCACATATTGGTAATGACATTATAACTATAGTTGTTACTAATGCGTTGGTAATTAGCAATTTTTAACTAATGCTTTGGTAACTAGAAATCGGTACTAATGCTTTGGTAACTAGAAATCGGTACTAATGCTTTGGTAACTAGCAATTATCACTAATGATTTGGTAACTAGTGTTATTATTGATTTGGTAACTAGCGTTATAATGCTTTGGTAACAATTTTTACTAATGATGTAATTAGCAATTATTACTAATGTTGTAGTAACTAGCATTTGTTAATTAAAATCGTATACTTTATAACATACTAAATGTGAAATGTATGCTTTTGATACAAAAGAGGCGTGTATAATTATTGGACATTCAAGTGCACAATAAACAACAGTAATACAGAATAAAGTCAATAAGGGGAATACAGTATACAATACATTTGATATTTAGTATACAATACACTATATAGTATACAACTAGAGTAATATAGTAGGCAACTAGGGTAATACAGTATATAGTCAACAAGAGTAATACAGTATACAATACACCAAATTAATACAGTGGATAAAATTGTACTCACCTATTCGCTATATTAGCACGGGGGAACACGCAAACATACGTCGCACAGAATAAATAGCACACACACAAAAAACCAATACACTACGCACACTTATAAAAAAAAAAACATCGTAATAAATAGCCTTAAACCTAAGTTCGAAAAATATTAATATTAAAAGCGTTCGGTGGTGTGCATGGCAGAAAACTCGGCTCGAAACTGAGGCGGTGCGGGTGGCCGAGGGTGCCAATATGGTGCCACGGAGGCGGAGCCTGGCTAAGGGGGAGAGGGGGGGGGGGAAAGAGGGTTTCCTATACGCCCCATTTTGGCACTGGCACCTCTTCTGCGTTATTTATTACTCTAATGACCGCTTGCTGTTGGTCATATCAACGTGGACATGAGGCTAAATGTGTGTGTGTGTGTGTCAATTAGAGACGCTTTTCATGTTTGAAACCGACTGGTTATCAGTATAAAATTAGTATAACACGATGAATTTCTTTGTATTGATTTATGCAATGCAGTAATACTTAAACATTAACATAAAACTAAACTTATTTAATATTATCTTTTTAGTTAGAGGAAGAGAATGCTAAATACGTGAGGACGGTTTTGGCGCCAAGACTGGTGTTGCCAGTTGGTGAATAATGCGAGGTGCGAGGTGGGCGGGGCAGACCCTTAACCATACTTATTGGCTACGTTAAAGTGGTCTATATTTCATCAGCTTATCTTTAGAAGACGTCTGGATTTCTTCCAAGACTGAAACAGGAGATATGATCATTTTTCATTTCAACAGACGCTGCAGCCAGCAGCTTTCTATATTGCACACTTATAAGTTTGCTTTATTCTGTGTTTCCAGATTCTCTGACAAACGATTATTTGAGTGTAACAAATACTGATGGTGGTGTGGGAAGAGTGAGAGTGCTGTGTAGGGTGAGGTATACCAGGCAGTGTTGCATGGTGCTGTCAGTCTCCTGGTACAATGGCCACCCTCACTTCTACATATAGGAACATATGTACACACACACACACACATTAACGCACACAATAAACAATTGTACACACACACGAGCACACATCCGCGCATGCGTACACAAGTATGTGTATACACAGTCACATACACACGCGCGTACATACAAACTACAGCTGTAGGACAACTATTGTATGGGGGGGGGATCAAGAGTGCGTCATGTGAGTGACCTACATCCTGTGGGTGACGAGTATCAAGGTTATTCTGGCGCCTAACAACGAAGATACACAAACCGTTGCCCAGTACTAACCAGTCGTGACTCACGACGTAGTGTGCGAACTCATCATCTCCACAGAGAATGAAGTTACACGCAGGTTGTACTGGGTTATTTAGGAGTTGCTCTACATATGTTTGTCTCTCCTCACTACTCCAACCCGTTCTCGCACTTTCATATAGTCAATATTGACTTATTAAATACGTGCATGTGACATACTAAACATACTAGTTTACCTTGAAAAGCTTCATAGAAAACACCGACTTTACCTAACCTTCTTAGTATGTTAAGATAAGCATCTTATTGCTTCGTAATTACAATTATTACTTAACCTATTATAGGTATAGGTATACTACTTACAGCAGAAACACCCTCCAAATTTCAAGTCACACTCCAAAATGAATTTCCAGTTCCCCCCCCCCTCGTCCTATGCCGATATTTGATGAACTCTTAGCTAATTTCTCATCTACATCCTAGAATCCTAAGTATAGGATAGGGTAGTAGCACGTTGCTATGTATAGCCAAGTTTGTTAATAACAAAAATATGACAATTGAGCTCAGAACTCCAATTGGCTGGGATATCCAAGTTGTACGTGACTGGTGCGCTCGATTTCAAAGTTGCAGGGTCGGTGTTCGATCCCCAAATAACCCAAGTGGTTGGATACCTTTCCTTCCTCACATTCTTATATCTCAGCTCCTTGCTCTCCCATAGTCCTTTCTAATGTATAGAGTCCTATTGATTTAATGCTTCTTCTTGACAATTACCTTTCTTTAAATTACTGACAACTCTGAGGGCTCTAATATGCTGATTTCCCCTTCACACACACACACACTTTAAGTTATGACAAAGAGTACTGGGAAGACGGGACACCAGGAGTGTAGCTCTCCTCCTGTAACTACACTCAAGTTATTAACACACACACACACACACACACACTTCAACATAACAAATAATAATAACGTTAGTTGAAAAGGAATAATATATGTGGGGTTTTAACATCACTATGACAAAGGCGAGATAAACAATCCATTCCAGAAATATTTACTTTAAAATACAAAGTTTCAACGCACAGCCTTTCAAACTCAAATACCATAATACTACTACAGTACCATACCATACATACCATACTACTACAGTACCATACCATACATACCATACTACTACAGTACCATACCATACATACCATACTACTACAGTACTTGTTTTACCAGCTAATAAGATATCACTGTTCCCTCTTATTATTATTATTATTATTATATCTTAAAATCTCTAATTGTCCTATATTAAACATATGATTATATAGATTTACTTTATTATAACAGTTGCCACTTGTGCCAGAGGTAACAGATAGGACAAGGTAAGTAAAATTAATCTAATGGTCTTAGAAGCAAGGTCAAGGGAACATATGATCACAACGTACAAGATACCGAAGAAAATAGGCAAAATGGACAGTTTTATTTTCTTCAAGCGAGTGATACCAGAGTGAGCCAGAGAAAGATAAGGAAATACTAGTATTTTATGAGTGATAAACGAGTGGAATAAACGTGACCCAGCTTTACCTTAAGGTGGTGCCAAGGACCAGTGTCCCCGCGGCCCGGTCTCTGGCTTTTCTGGAGAAGTAACCACAATTTTACATCTTTAAGTCTTTAAAAGCATGCTGAAACGTCAGACGTAGCTGTTGTCTTGCTACGAGGCGGGGCTCAAGAACTGCATTTCTCTCCCCGTAAACACACACACACTCGTTGACGTAGCGATGTTAGAGGGTAATGTATCCCTGGATAAGGGTAGTGGCCCGACCCGCGAGGTCCACCCGACCGTCCGGCCTCACCGTGACCCGCACGTCACCGCCGCGGGCCGAGCACTGGCGACCTGTTGAACCACACAACTGCCTCGTCACCTCCTCCACATAATCAATACCACGAGGCCAACAAAAGTAAACAAAACAGGCAAAACACTTAATAATAACTCAAAAATTATCATATAACATGAACAAAATTATATATTCTAGTTAATTTGCTCAGATGATCAAGCTAGGATAGAATTATTCATATTTTTATTTAGATGTTGCTTGATGCTTTTAACAATGTTTTCCAGAGGTAAATTTATTTGTAATAACTGCGTTGTTGTTGTCTAAAGACTTACATCTGAGAGTCGTAATCCCAAGTTCCTTTGACCAGTAGGGGCCCAGGACAGTGTGAGCTGATCCTATTGAGATAACGAGACTTTGTGAAGCTCTTAAATCAACACGCGGAAACAATTATCAGACAAGAAATTAATATACATAAAATATGTCTATTTATATATAGTGTGTGGTCATTTATTACACCCAATTTGTCCCATATTTAACTTGTTACCGCTGGCTAGGCTTCATTAAACTAGGTAAGGTTGCACCTCTTACTCCGGTCATGGCAGCTTAGTTTGTATTATATTAATTAAACAGTTTACGAGATCCGAAGCTCTACGAGGCTGTTTATGACAACTATAACCTTGACCAGGATTTATCAAACATTTACGTATCCACTAACGAATCCTGTACATCTTTCAACGGTCATGGTGGCTTTGTTAACATTTATTAAACAGTTTACGAGGTTCAAAAGTTATCAATACATGGTTATTGTTACTATAAACAAACTCGTGCAGCTTTGGAGCTCGTAAACTGTTCAATTATGATGAAGACAAGATGTAAAGATTTCTTAAGTAGTTGCGTAAATGCTTGATGAATCCTAGTCCTCGAGTTGAAGACTACCTCGCAGCGCTCCGGAGCTCATAAACTGTCTAATACAGACCAAGCCTTCCCTGACGAGTCCTAGCTTTGTCTCTTTACCTGTGACAGGGTCCTCGGGAATACCATTCCATGGAGCAAAGTACCGTGAGACACAATGGTACTCTGAAGGATCCAGCTCCCCAGCTTGAGTGCTGCTGGCGAGGGTCTGGGTGCCCCGTGTAGTGAAGATGACACCCTTCACCAGCGAGCCATCGTGTAGGTCCAAGATGGCTCCTGTGTCTAGCTGCAAGGTCTCCAGCTGTTCTCTGGACAAAGACTTGTTTTGTCACAGAGGTAAATATGCTTCACACTATTTTTGTTTCAAAATAATTTTTTCAACTGTTTACTAACTACTTTTTGTTCTCTCTCCACATCACACACACACACACGCCAGGAAGCAGCCCGTGACAGGTGACTAACTCCAAGGTACCTATTTACTGCTAGGTAACAGAGACATTCAGGGTGAAAGAAACTTTGCCCATTTGTTTCTGCCTGGTGCGGGAATGGAACCCGCACCACAGAATTACAAGTACTGCGCGCTATCCACTAGGCTACCAGGCCCCCACGGCGTATGTGTGTGTGTGTGTGTGTGGCGACGGGGCCTACCTGGTGCAGGCATGTAGGCTGACCAGGAGCTTCTTGGTGGTGTGGGAGAGCAAGAGATGCTTCACCTGCAGGTCCCCCGTCACCACCTTCAGAAGCCTGGCCAACTGGGTCTCCTCGAGGGCCGTCAGGGGCACGGGAGGGTTGGCTGGGAAGTCGAGGACGATGTGGTGACCCTCTCTCCTAGCCACTAGCACGCCACTCTGTGTCTCGAACTCCAGCCGGCTACTCAAATTCCCTGCGAACAATAAACATTTCTAACGTAAAATATTTTGCCATAAACATACTTACACGAGCCCTAGGAGCTTCAAATCTCCTACCCCCAGTGCGGGAGACGGTAGCTCTTAGGGTGAGAGGTTCGAGGCTCCGAAACAGCTGGTACTCAGGACACTCAGGGTTATGTTGGTGTGATGACACGGTGTGTCATGGGGTCTGGCTGTGATGGGCATTGACAGACATAGGTGCCTGCCACCCATTCTCCACACGTACAAGACCGACACTATCGTACACAGCACCAGCATGGAGTCCTTACCTTGTAAATCATAAATACCAGCTTGTAAACGTCTAGAGGTGTGTGAAAAAGACTGATCCCTGAGGAGAGCCAAGCTCTGCACATGTTAAAACTCCCGTGACGGTAATGTAAATAGAGTATAAGCAAGGGTAAGAATAAGAACATGGAGGACCTAGGCAATGGAAGAGGACGTGAGCGGTGGCGAGGGTGGCGTGTCCGCACAATGGGACCTCAGTGGTGGGCGTGAACCATCGGAGTGTGAACCTTGAACACCGCACCCAGGGATCTTCCTGCGTCGTGGCGGGGGGCGTGGCCTTGGGACTCACATAAGCGGTTTCAGAAAGGTTTAGTTCCTCCGCCAGCCTCTGTAGCACCTCTTCCTCTACAACCTGTAGAAACCAGACTGATCAACTTTATGTATGGATAATGTAAATTTAATAATAAAACTTCCGTATCAATAAGTGGCATTATCTTGTACCTAAGCCTCCCAAAAAATATCAGTGCGAGACAACTAATAACAGGTTACTCATATTTTTTAATTTGGAAAATCAACCAATATTCTTAACGTCGTCAAGTACTAGTATGGAGTATAGTAGTTTGATAGTTATATAACTTAGTAGACAGGTGAGGCTGACTCAGGTTAGTGTACGGGGTATACTCACTTTTCAACTTCCAGGAGTTTTTGTATAATTTCCGTTCTAATGGAAACATTTATTAGCTATCCCGTGTCAATTTTCTACGCGTTAAAATCACTTGTCTATTTGTTATAATTATGGCTGGACTCCCAATTGTGATCCCTGAGCATAAATTATAGATACACTCAAGGCGTTTGCCTGGTTCCCAAACCCTATTTCCATCACTGTAGGTTATAAAGCAACGTTCAGCAACTGGTGGTAGTCGGTCGATGAGTTTCTGTTTGGTATATGTCTGCCTGTGTTATGTGAGAGTTACTTGACCTTACCTCATACTGCTCCAAAGTTTGCAAGCGCAGACACTGATAACATGCCTCCCTGTGTGACTTAACTATCCTGTGAGATGGGCATATCTTAGCTTAGCATTTTGTAGCTAGCGCTTGACACATAATGTAATTCATGATATAATCTAAGGTAGCTGTATAAATTCAGATGTATCTAAATATAATGAAAAAAGTCTGCCTTTTATATGACCAGGATCAGTAGCCTCCTCAATGGGGATGAGGCTACGGTGATCATTGTGGCGTCTGGTCTAAGACCTGATATATCAGCCCATCCTTCGCTTTAGTTAGTACTTATAATAACGATGAGGACCATAGTACATATATGAAGTAATGGACAATTAGAACGTAGAAATTGTTACTACTGAATTTGGACAAACCGGGAAAGGTTTTGTACTTATGTTGAAAAGACAACCTAAACTAACCTACCCTAACCTTCCAAGGCCTAGTACACGCTATCCGAGGCCTAATATAGTACATATATAAGCTATACTAGGTCTAGGAATATTTAAGTTAATTTTTTAGTTTTATTACTTTCGGACTATAAAGTGAATAGTACCAAATTCTATCATCTAATTCTACCATCTACCATCATCGTATCACATCGATTGTGATCCCCGAGCATAAATTGTGAGTCCAGTAAATATAAAAAATGTGTCAAATACTCTGGAAGCATGCAGGCGATGAGTCACAATAACGTGGCTAAAGTATGTTGACCAGACCACACACTAGAAGGTGAAGGGACGACGACATTCACAATCGACTTGAGAATGGTCCAGGACGAACCGAAACGTCGTCGTCCCTTCACCTTCTAGTGTGTGGTCTGGTCAACATACTCTGGAAGCATGTACAGAGAGGGGGAAATAGCCCTGGCCAGTGAGAATAGGTGTCTGTAATATACCTGTGTTAGCGGTATCACCGCTGCGGGGTTGCCAGAGAAGGGCTGGTCGGTGAACGCATCCACTGTGAAGAGTTGCAGCTTCATCTAAGGAAAAAATAGATATCCAACTCATTTCTCCAAAATAGTTATTATGCATCAAGAAATACTAAATTGCATCTACTTTGTGTATGCTTGTGCAAACCTATTTTTGTTTTTAACTGGAGGATACAGAAGCAGACGCCTACTGACTCTTGTTAGGAGGCTTAGAGCTCTCTTTTTCAACGGCTCACATTAAGCCTTACCCTAATAGTTCCCCGTGAAACACAACCCGCTAATTTGTGTATAAACAGGTCTATATGGACTATATATAAGTCTATACAGGTCTATATATCCCAGGACTATATGCAACTGAAAACTCAATTCGCATTTGTGTTCTTCACGTGTGCCCCAAAGAATGAGGTGATTTGATAAAATACTATGCCCAAGATTACCATCCGAGTGCCGGCTGGGGAGGTGGTTCAAATAGCTTCGGCTATCACCTCCTTATTGTCCGGTCGTGATGGTCGAGTGGATTAAGGTGTCCTGTACATACCAGTTGCGTTGCTCCTGGCAGTATGGGTTCGAGTCACTTCTGGGGTGTGAGTTTTCAGTTGCATATAGTCCTGGGGACCATTCAGGCTTGTTCGCATATATATATATATATATATATATATATATATATATATATATATATATATATATATATATATATATATATACAGGCGATGAGTCACAATAACGTGGCTGAAGTATGTTGACCAGACCACACACTAGAAATTGAAGGGACGACAACAATCGACTTGAGAATGGTCCAGGACGGACCGAAACGTCGTCGTCCCTTCAATTTCTAGTGTGTGGTCTGGTCAACATATATATATATATATATATATATATATATATATATATATATATATATATATATATATATATATATATATATATATATATATGTGTGTGTGTGTGTATATCACGAAAATAAACACGTGATTAAGAATGTGACAATGTCAGACCACGGAGGAAAATGAAACAGGAATTTCCTTAAGTACTTTCGTATATTAAATACATCTTCAGAAGGAATGTATATTTGTAATTATATATATATATATATATATATATATATATATATATATATATATATATATATATATATATATAATTATATATATATAATTATATTGTGTGTGTGTATGTGTAAATCACGAGGAAACTAACATGTGATGAACAATGTGACAGTGTCAGACCACAAAGGAAGAATTAAGACAGAAATTTACCTAAGTACTTTCGTATTTAATAATTCATCTTCAGAAGGACGGAATTACAATTCAGTGGTGCGGATATAGTCAGAATAATATATGCAGGGTGAATAGTCTGTGGTACAGGACGGACATAGGCTGGTCGTTATTTGTCCTATTGGTCTTAGAGCGGGTTGGGCCAAATAGTGACCATCAACCTAATCATTGACATGTGGTTATCCAAGTCCCTAGATTTATTTACTTTTATGTAAGATATATGAAGCTTACCTTCACACATAAACATAACCCATCATAATGAGACAGACATTGCAGCCAAATTAGCGTGTAACAAGTTTGAAGTTGAATTAGATCTAGGTATCCCCATCTCTGCTGTCAAAACTGTATTGGTCCAAACATTCAGATCTGATAGGAAAGAACTTACTGACTCCCAACGACCTGAAAGTACTAGTATAAAAAGCTATGATTTGTTCAGATCTGAAACCTACATCTATGGACAGCACAAAACGTCCACTAGACTGTGCGACACAGTGGTTGCAAGGATCAGGTTGGGTTACCGTTACCTGTGGCAGGTGGCTGCAGGTGACGGGTCTCCCAATCCTGAGCACTCCAGTTGCAAACTCTGTGAGCAGGAACTACGGCATGATCTCCCGCACTACATCACTGAATGCCCAGTTATTAGACCTTTCAGACCAGTTGGCATGAGGTACCTGGAGCTTTGCAATTACTTTATTCACTCTCGTATTCTTGAAGATATCCTCACAGTATACCCAAAATTTGCCAGTGCAGGCTATTAAACACATGGCTCCGTATGACTAACCATCCTGCGAGATGGGGACTTGTATTACCACTGCTACCTTATTCAATCATGTGTTGTTGATATCCTCAAAATGCATCCGGAGTCTGCCAGTGCAGACCGCTTATCACATGCCTCTGTATGACTAACCATCCTGTGTGATGGGGATTTTATAGCATCACCTAGTTAGCTTTTTTGACACACTGTACTCCACTTCATATAGTCTAGGGTAGCTGCACTAATGCAGATGTACCTCATAACTTAATAAAAAAAAAATAAAAAAAATATGAATCTTTTTTTTTGAAGCACCAGTATAAAAAGATATGATTTGTCCAGATCTGAAACCTATGTTTATGGGCAGCACAAAACTTCCACCAGACTGTGCGACACAGTGGTTGTCAGGATCAGGATGGGTTACCGTTACCTGTGACAGGTGGCTGCAGGTGACGGATCTCCCAATCCTGAGCAGTCATGAGCAGTCAGGTACAACTTCTGTGAGCAGGAACTGGGGCATGATCTTGCACACTACATCACCGAATGTCCAGTTATCAGACCATCCAGAACCGGTGGCATGAGTTACCTAGAGCTTTGTAATTATTTTATTCACTCTCGTGTTCATGATGATCTCCTCATAATGCACCCAGAGTCTACCAGTGCAGACTACTCATCACGTGCCTCTGTATGACTAAGCATCCTGTGTGATGGGGATTTTTTTTAGCACCACGTAGCTAGTTTTATGACACTGTACTCCCCTTCATGTAGTCTAGGGTAGCTGCACAAATGTAGATGTGCCTAATGTATTAATAATAAAAACTGCCTGAAACGTTTTGCGTAATAGTGGCTTTAGGCATTGTATGTACTAGCTCTATCTATTAATCCAACAAACTTTGTAAAATCTCTTTATGTATGTACCTTACCTAAATAAACATTTATTTATTTATTTATTTATTTATAAAAGAGTGAAAAATGTTTGAAGACAGGGAAGAAGAGGGGGGGGGATGTTTGAAGAGAGGGAGGAGTGAATGGCAGACATGAAGTGGGGGAAGACAGAGAGGGGGAGATGTTGGGGGAGAGTGAGGACCTTGAGGCAAAAAGCTGGGAGAGGAGGAGAGTGAGGGAGAGGGGAAGACGGGGGAGAGAGAGACCAGGACGTCTACCCCGCCTAGTGTGTATTATATAATAATTAAATTATATAATATATATTATACTGTATATATATATATTGTAGTATATCTATATATTATATGTATATACACATAAAATTCCAGACTTGGTATTCCAAGAAGCCTAGCAAAACATAACAGTATAAATAAGCTATTACAAGTGTGCCAAAATCTTCACAGTAAAGCTTTATCACTACACATTTTATTACAGCCGCCATGATGATAATCATGTATAGTGACTGACCCAGTGTACCAATCCCGTAGACGGTACACCTTTCCGGTAGGCGGTGCATCACGGTTTTACCCAGATAATCAATACTCAAAGATGCCTAACAGATATCTTATCACTAGTTCGCTATCACATCTTTATATAACTATAACCTGGCTCTCGAACAGCTAAATGCTCCAGTACACATTGATTAGAGTTTCCAAGTTCCCTTAGAATGTTTTTTTTTAGGATGTCATGAGAATAGTGTAGACGTACCTTAATAAGGAGGGTTGATAGTGGAGACGAGGGTGTCGCCAGGCGCTGTTCGCTGCTCAAGTGTGTCGCCAGGCGCTGTTTGTTGCTCCAGTGTTACCCACAACGCTCCCCCAAGGTCGCGGTCCGCTCATGCCACCTCACAGTCACAAATTACATTGTTATTATTATTACAAACTCTCACACGTGATGAAAATCAAATTTAAACTTTTATGTATAACGCCCATACCCTATTATTGTACACGTTATGTGGAAAAAAGAGTATTTACGGCATTACTGTGATAACGCTAATATAAAGAGCTGCCAATATTGGTGGCGCTGTGTGTAGCAGCTGATCAAGTGGGGGGAGAAGCCAGTGACGGCGCAGGGAGGAGTGTAGCCTGTAGGAGCACTGCAGCCTGTAAGAGCACTGAAGGTAGTACTGCTGCCTGTATGAGCACTACATGCAAGATTGTACCCCCTGTATGAGCACTGCAGAGAAGAGTGCTGTTGTCTGCAAGTGTAAGGAGCATTGTTACCGATAGGAGCACTGCAGAGGGACCAGTGTGTGTAAACAAGCACTGCAGGAAGGATTGTTGCTTCTACGAATACTGCTGGGAGGATTGTTAGTTGTACGAGCGCTGCAGAGAGGATTTGTGGCTATCGGATCACAGCAAGGACGATAACACGAGCACAGGGACGCAACTATGGGAAAATTTACGGGCCGGCGTGCGCTAGTGACAGGTGCTGGAGCCGGAATTGGTCGTGGCCTGGCTATTAAGTTAGTGGGAATGGGTGCACAAGTGTTCGCTCTCAGCAGGACAGCCGACCACTTGGAATCATTAAAAGCAGAATGCCCAGCCGTCCAGACCATCTGTGTTGATTTGAGTGACTGGACCGCGACTAGGGAAGCTGTGGAGAAAATTACCCCTATAGACTTGTTGGTAAACAACGCAGCATATGCTACCTTAGCACCTTTCTTGACGACGTCACCGGAGAGCTTCGATAAGGTGTTCAATGTGAACGTGAAGGCGGTGATGAACGTGTCGCAAGTGGTGGCGGGCGACCTCATAACAAGAGGACAGAGGGGTTGCATCGTTAACCTGTCTTCTCAAGCGGGGCAACGAGCGTTGAAGGACCACACTGTGTACTGCTCTTCCAAAGGGGCACTGGACATGCTGACCAAGGTCATGGCACTGGAGCTGGCACCAAAGGGGATCCGGGTGAATGCCGTGTCCCCCACTGTGGTCATGACGGCCATGGGACGCGTGGGGTGGTCGGACCCTGCTAAAGCTGAACCCATGTTGGCCAGGATACCACAGGGAAGGTTTGCTGAGGTGGATGACGTGGTCAACGCCGTCGTCTACCTCCTGTCTGAAGAGAGCAACATGGTCAACGGCCATCTTCTTCCTGTTGACGGCGGCTTCTTGGCCGCCTAGTTACATTACCACATGTCATTGTTATTGTTTTTCTCGTGTTTTTTATTGTTCCTGAACAAGTTCATTTCTAATACAAGGGGATTATAAAATTATGATTTTTTATTCCAATAAACCTACATTTGTTTTACAGGTATTGGTAGCTGACCATGGCATAAACCTCGCAATCCATCCTCCATCCTTTTGGTTTACTGAGGAACCCTCAATTCAAGGGTGAGGCTACACCTATGTGGTTATCTAATTACTGATTAGAACTGACACGAGGCGGACCTCTTTATATAAGAATATAATTTGTCACCCCAGCAATACACAAGATAACCAACACGAAAAACTGATTACAATTCGTTTTCTCAGAGACAGGAGACCTATGTATATAATTACTTTAGGCATGAATCGAGGTCTCCCTCAGGGTCCAACTACTGACCCTCCCCAGGATGCAACCCCACCATAGCTACCATTGGTGAAACTCGCTCTCTCGGGTACTCGGGTTACTATTTACTCTCAAACTCTCGGGTACCTATTTACTGTTAGGTGAACAGGTGCATTAGGTGAAAAGAAATGTCCAACTATTTCTGTCCCATCCTAGAATCTAACCTGGGAGCCCCGAGTGTGAGCCGAGAACAAAGCCAACTGTGCTATGCTATCCTAATAATAAATTGGATTAGTTTAGAGTTAGGAAAAACCTGAATAAATGTCAGTTTAGACAGAGAATTCTATTTAAGGAACAAATTGGATTGGTAACATACAATTTATTATCGGATCGCTGGATAGTTTCAAGCGTATGATTTGACACATGAATACAACCCATCCTCCTCTTTTTAAATTTATGCAGTCTCCGTGGTGTAGTGGTAAGACACTCGCCTGGCGTTCCGCGAGCGCTGTCATGGGTTCGTATCCTGGCCGGGGAGGATTTACTGGGCGCAATTCCTTAACTGTAGCCTCTGTTTAACGCAACAGTAAAATGTGTACTTGGATGAAAAAACGATTCTTCGCAGCAGAGGATCGTATTCCAGGGAACATAGGATTAAGGACTTGCCCGAAACGCTACGCGTACTAGTGGCTGTACAAGAATGTAACAACTCTTGTATATATCTCAAAAAAAAAAAAAAAAATGGTACTTTTTGTAACTATGTGGTCGATCTACCAATATGTAGCAATGGAGCCCCAGTAAGCCACTTTTGTACTTTTTTTAAGTTCAGAAAAAACTAAAAATCAAATATGCCTAGGACTAATATTGCACATATATGTATTATATTAGGCATTAGATAGTGAGTTATGCCTTAAATGGTTAAGTTAGGCTTTATTTGCAACATATAAAACATTTTCCAGTTTGTCCCAATTCAGTACTACAAAAGTCTACTTTCTGGTGGTTCGTCATGACATATTTGTACTTTTCGACTACATGGCTAAGTATGTTAGTGATGTATGCTAGATACATGGACGAGGAATTCATAATGGCGGAAGAACTAAAACTAGCCTACTATATCCATTCATGAAGATTTCACGTTGCGATTTGCTATCGTAACAATGCACTTATTGGGTGCACTAGTTTATCGGTTCAAAGCATAACTGCGTACAAAGGTAAATGAAAACTACGCTAAAATAATACCACACTATAACAAATAATAGTAAGTACATAACCCCCCCCCCTGGATCACCACCACATACCTGCTTGTTCCACGACTTTTGGGAGCTAATCACCGCCTAATGGCGCCTCCCAGTCTCATATAATCCTTGGTGCCCTAAAACATATTGGGGTTACCAAAGGTGTTTCTGGTCTGGATCTAATGTTCATGGTTAATTGTAATTTACATGTTGAATTGCTTTATGAATAGTACCTAACTAAGCAAATTATAGTACATTTTCTATATGAAGGTCAGAGATAAACACATTGATTACACATTCATAATATGTCGGTAATGCAGCCCACACCACGATCTGGAACGCCGTAGGTCACAATGGGTCAGAGTTGGTGTACATAACCACAAGGTATCCAATGCTACTTGTTTAACAAGCGGTCGCAAGGAAGCCTGGTTACTAAATGTTTATTTTTTTTATTAACACATTTAGGTAATCTGCATTATGGTTATTAACCCATGGAACCGCCTACCCGCCGAAGCCGTAACTGCCAAAACTGCTTAATTTCAAAATATACTAGGAAAAGATCACCAAGGCAAATGGGGAGGGGGGGGGACCTTCGACAAGCCGCCGGCTTCCTGTCCTCGTCTAGGCCACCAGGGTTAGTGGCCCTCAGGTAAATCAGAATAGCAGGATTACAGAAATGACACGACCATAGTTCCGTAGAAGACATTACCGCAGATAGCAGCCTCATTAGACGTTGAGATGCAAGTCTCGTCCTAACCACATACTCAGACATTGATACAGCACTCTCCTAGGAGAGTGTGAGAGACCGTGTAAATTCTTCACATAAATTTCACCAAAACACAAGTGTGGGTTTTTATCCAATGCTAATAATAATATAATAATACTAATATAATAACAATTAAGCAAAAGTACATAGTATACAATTAGATTGTATGAGGGGTTGTTGTTGTTGTTAAAGATTCGCTACCTTGAACAAAGTTCAAAGTAGCACGGGCTATGGCGAGCACGTAGATATATTCAGTATGAGGGATATGCGAGGCACGTATGAAGCCAGTACTCAGAAAGCGGAGGACGTGCCGTGACTGTAGCTCCCACCTGCACCATATCCTCCACTAGTACTTACACCAACTATTTAGTCAAACATACATAAATAGATTGAAATTGAACACAAAAAGTTCATTTTGATAATACTGACTAGCCCAAAGGGCTAATTCAAGTAATCCTACGCCTAATATGCGTTATCTTGGTTCTAAAATAGTGTATATATATGTGTATGTATGTATGTATGTATGTATGTATATGTATGTATATGTATATATATATATATATATATATATATATATATATATATATATATATATATATATATATATATATATATATATATATATATATATATATATATATATATATATATATATATATATATATATATATATATACACTAAGCCTAGAAATGTTTAAATTTGGATTTTGTTTTTTTCGTGACCCTTACAAAATAAGCAGTATAAAAAGTGAACATAATTGAGGAAAGACACTATTATAGAATCTATAGTTCTAGCAACAGTACAGTCGATATACTATTTAACATTAGCAATGACAACAAAATCATGTCTCTAGTCTAAGCTGAGCAACTTACATCTGTGGCGACGCAGTTACATACAGTTTACTTCAATAATCATGCACGCCCCACACTCATCATCCTGTGGGCCGATCATTAAGCACTTGTGTGGCCTAATGACCCTCCAGAGGATGGACCTAAAAACCAAACATTTATTTATTTATTTATTTATTTACAAGAAGGTACATTGGGGGTTAAGAGAGAACATTTAGGAATGATGTTAATTTTACAATCTTGTAAAGCCACTAGCACGCATAGCGTTTCGGGCTAACATCAAAAGAAACCATAGGAGAGTAATCCAGGCTATGCAGGCGATGAGTCACAATAACGTGGCTAAAGTATGTTGACCAGACGACACACTAGTAGGTGAAGGGACGACGACGTTTCGGTCCTTCCTAGACCATTCTTAAAAAAAAGTAGATTGTGAAAAGGAAGTAGATGCAGGCAATAAATAGGCTAGAGAGAGGTGAGGAGCAAAGTGTAGTGGAGATAGTAGTAGGAATTGGTCCTCTGCAGTTCTAGGAAAACACTTCTAGGAAAAGAAGTGAACTTCACTTCTTTTCCTACCATCCTCCTTCAGTTATGAAAAGTGTCCTCGTCTCTCTCTTCCTCTGCGCTCTACCCCCCAGCGACCCCCAGTTTCTTGATTCTGAAATTGCCCTTCACCTTCTAGTGTGTGGTCTGGTCAACTAATCTAGGCTATAACGGAGTGCATTATAAATTACTTCAACAGAAAAATCTGATCTACCAAAACAGTTGGGAATTTCCTCTAGTGCTTTCCCTAATTTCCCTTATGCTCTAAGGGAAGCGGTGCCATATCAACCAACTAGAAATTACCATAAAGAGATAAATATTCGTGGGCGTATTACAAGGAATTTTGTACTGGAAAATTGCCTATGTATGACGCAATTTGTCTTATTAAAATAAATAAATAAATGTTTATTTAGGTAAGGTACATACATACAAGAGATTCTACAAAGATTGATGGATTTATAAATAGAGCTCTAAGTAATCTCTCGAAGTAATTATTAAATGTTCAAATGACTTTGCTTATTATCTTTTCTAAATGACAAGAAGAAGAACACAGTAAAATTAAAACAATTTCCAGGTTAATTAAAGTGATTAGAGGAGAGGTTGTGGTGCGGCTGGCAGCGAGGACACGACTCCAGACTCCTGCGGCAGCAGTTGGTGTCTGGCTCTCCTGCAGGACGGTGCTGGCTCTCTCTCGCTCCTCCAACACACACACATATAGTTATTGCTCCCTTGCAATTTATTACGTAAGTAAATGTCTTGTTATTCCGTAAATAAATACGAGTTTCACGTTATTGTGTAAGTAAATGTCTTGTTATTCCGTAAATAAATACGAGTTTCACGTTATTGTGCTAAGTAAAATGTCTTGTTATTTTGTAAATAAAAATACGTGTTTCGTATTAAGTAAATGTAAATAATAAATGCAATGCTATTTTGTTAAGTAAATATCTTATTCTATAAATGTGTCATGTTATTCTGTAAATAGATATAATGTTATTCTATAAATTTTAATATTCCACATGTATATGTGTGTTTCGTGTGATGAAATATAAGTGGCGAGATGTGGCTGTTTACAGAGACGGACATTGGGAATTTACCTGGTATGTTCCACCTATCATGGTCAAGTCTTTCTCTATACTGGGAGCAGGACAAGGTGGAGAGTGGCGGATGTTACCACGTCCTCAGTAACCCACAGTTAGGACACGACTGGTACGGGAACGTTGGTCACACTAGACGGGTCAGGGAGGGTTGGAGGGGCTGACTTGTACCAGTTCTGACTAGTCCGTCAGTCTGTCTAGCTTGTCAGTAAGTCTAGCTGTCTGTCTAGCCGTAACAATGTCTTCTGAAGGTTTTCCCCTCCCGGTAAAGAGTGATGTTGAAAGATGCAGCATTCACAGTGGCGCATCAATCAATGTTCATAATTTGGCAGATATTAAAAGTTTTCGACGTTGTTGATTCAGGGGCGACGACAATCATGGGATCGGATGCGCCCCGGAGTACCCGTGAAGGGTTAATCGTGAAGCCTAATGGCGAAATGAATGTAGCTTATCAGCGGAAACTATAATGTACCTCGCGGCCAATAAACACACAGACAGGCAGCTGATTGTGGATCCCCAAGAGTCCCTCAGGGTGACAGGCACCAGGCCCCGCCCCACACAGAACACTTTGTAGAAAAGCCAAAAACTTGGACCGTCAACTTGAACGCGAAAGTCTTCGGGTGCCCCTCGGCAGAACAGATACCAGCCGCCCTTGGTTTGAGGACCCACTAACTCCCGGTACCTTTCGGCCAAGGCGGCGCCAGACACTATCACCCCGCTGGAAGAACCAACCAGAAAACGTTAAAAATCTGTCAACTGACCTGTGATCCAAGGCGAAGTAGCTGTACAGACGTCGTCAAGGTTAAACCAGGAGTCAAAGTTATCGATGTCTGAGAAGGTTATCTTCCTCACTTGGTACGCAGTGCATTTATCATTTGGGAGGACACTCCCCCCACCTTTATTTACTCTTTATTCTTGAAAATCATATCTGAGTGCTTTCTCTTTGGTTTTCTGTTCGTTGATGCTGTTAATGACAAATTACCTGCATTTGTAACAAACATGTTGGAGGGATGTTCGTAAATTTTGTCAATATATCCAAGAAAATCAGGGAAATGATTTCTCCAGTGCTGCACTGCAGACGTACACAAACCCTGTCGAGCGTGCCACTCTTTCGGCAGAAACGTCACCTTACCACCGATCCGTCTAATTACCACAAGCTACACAAGCTTCAGAAAGCTTATGTTAGTAATGAATAAATATGATATATTTACTCATTATAATGTTGGTGCTGAATGTACAACACGAGAAAACATAATTTTAATCTGAATAAGTATATTTTTATTAAGAAATTAGACGAAAATAAAGAGCTGGTGACGCCAAATAAAGTCGACGATCCAAGCGTCGGTTAGGTTAGGTTTAGTTAGGTTTGGTTTGGTTAAGTTAGGTTAGGTTTAGTTAGGTTTGGTTTGGTTGTTAGGTTAGGTTAGGTTAGGTTAGGTTAGGTCAGGTCAGGTCAGCCTAACCTAACATATATTTATTCATTACTAACGTATTGCCAGGAAGCTTTCTGAAGCTTGTGTAGCTTGTGGTAATTAGACGGACGCCTTACCACTACTCGCTCTCAGCACAGAGTGAGTGTATATTCACTAATTGTATCTGCAGAATCGAGCTATTAGCTCTTGGACCCCGCCTTTCTAACCATTTTTTTTCCTCTATTTCTACTACGTATATTTATCTTAACGCGTGCGCGCGCACACATTCCCAGGAAGCAGCCCGTAGCAGCTGTCTAACTTTGAGATACATATTTACTGCCAGGTGAACAGGGGCATCAGGGTGAAATAAATTCTGCCTCTGCCGGGGATCGAACCCGGGTCCTGAGGACTACAACCCCAGAGTACTGTTCACTCGGCCGCGAGGCCTGTGTGTGTACTCGCCTAATTGTGCTTGCGGGGTTGAGCTCTGGCTCTTTGGTCCTGCCTCTCAACCATCAATCAACAGGTGTACAGGTTCCTGAGCCTATTGGGCTCTATCATCTACACTTGAAACTGTGTATGGAGTCAGCCTCCACCACATCACTTGCTAATGCATTCCATTTGTCAACCACTCTGACACTAAAAAAGTTTTAGTGTCAGAGTGTGTTTGTGTGCCTGTGACAGCTGACTAACTCCAAGGTACCTATTTACTGCTAGATAACAGGGGCATTCAGGGTGAAAGAAACTTTGCCCATTTGTTTCTGCCTGATGCAGGAATCGAACCCGCGCCACAGAATTACGAGTCCTGCACGCTATCAACCAGGCTACCAGGCCCCTATGTGTGTGTGAGAGAGAGTGAGAGAGGGAGGGGGAGGGGGGCACCTTCAGCTCTACCTCCTACCTAACTTTGCCAGCAGCGTTGACTCAACAAGCATCCTCTTCTCAACCTACCATGACATGTCATACCATTTCTAACATACGAGTGCTGTAACCAAGACTATATCAAATTAACTTAAAAAAAAATACCATAGTCTTTGAATCTTGTCATTCAAAATCGTATACATTGAGAGAAGTAGAGAGACAGTATGAAAATGTCATTGCGAGTAAAGTCAAGGCCCAACTAAAACTGCTTCACAGCCACATCAGGAGGGAAAACAGCAGTGAAGGAACAAGTGATGAAGCTGAAAAAATGGGAGAACAGATACAGAGAATGACAAGGTGTGTGAAGAACTCAACAAGAGATTCCAGGAGGTCTTCACAATAGAGCAAGGAGAAACCCCTGTACAAAGAGAGGTGGTGGTAAACCAAGCAACCTTGGAGGAATTTGAGCTTACCAATGATGAGGTCAAAAGGATTTTGTTTGAGCTGAAAGTGACAAAAGCTGTTGGGCCTGACAGAATTTCACAATGGATACTAACAAAGGGTCTAGAAGTACTAAGTGTGCCACTTTCCATGGTGTATAACAGGTCACTGAAAACAGGAGACCTACCAGAAAGTTGGAAGACAGCTAATGTAGTCCCAATATACAAAAAGGGCAACAGGCAAGAGGCATTGAACTACAGGCCAGTTTCCCTAACTTGTATACCATGCAAGGTAATGGAGAAGATATTGAGGAAAAGGCTCGTAGAATATCAGGAGAGAAGGAGCTTTGTAACCACCACCAGCGTGGGTTCAGAGATGGTAAATTGTGCTTCACAGGCTTAATAGAATTCTATGACCAGGCGACAGAAATTAGGCATAAAAGAGAAGGGTGGACAGACTGCCTTTTCTTAGACTGTCAGAAAGCCTTTCACACAGTACTCCATAAGAGGCTGTTACAAAAGTTGGAAAAACAGGCAGGAGTTAAAGGTAAGGTACTCAGTGGATAAGGGAGTATCTAAGTAACAGGAAACAGCGAGTAACTGTGAAGGGGGAGACATCAGAGTAGCGAGATGTTACCAACGGAGTCCCACAGGGCTCTGAACTTGTCACCCATCTTGTTTCTGATATATAATAATAATAATAATAATAATAATAATTTTTATTTAGGTAAGGTACATACATAAAGAGATTTTACAAAGTTTGTTGGCTTTATAGATAGAGCTAGTACATACAATGCCTAAAGCCACTATTACGCAAAGCGTTTCGGGCAGGAAAAACATTAATGACTAAAGCTTAAAACTAATGGGTAAAAAGAATAAGATGTGTTGAGTACAAATAAAAATAGAGGTAAAAGAGGGGGGAACATTGTTGAAAAAGCAGCACAAATACAATTACAAATTTTTACAGAAAATTACATTCAAACAGTGTTGATTTGAAGAAAAAAAAAAAAAAAAAAAAAAAAAAAAAAAAACACATGGGTTGACAACAGAGGGGTAAGGTAGGTTACAGGGAATTTATTAGGTATAGCTTCGTTTTTAACTTAAACTGGTTGAGAGAGGTACTGTACAGTCTTTAACATGGTTGGGAAGGTCATTCCACATTCTGGGCCCCTTGATTTGTAGAGCATTTCTGGTTTATGTAAATGATCTTCCAGAGGGAAGATTCCTCATTCCTCTCAATGTTTACTGATGATGCAAAAATTTTGAGAAGAATCAAGACAGATGAAGATAGACAGAACCTACGGGATGACCTGGACAAACTGGATGAATGGTCTAGAAAATGGCTACTCAAGTTTAACTCAGGAAAGTGTAAAGTAATGAAATTAGGTGAAGGGAGCAGGAGGCCAAACACAAGTTACCATCTGGAGGGTGAAATCCTGCAAGAGTCAAAGAGAAAGTAAAATATGGGGGGGTTGATATCACACCAAACCTGTCCCCAGAAGCCCACATCAAAAGAATATCGTTAGCGGCATATGCTAGATTGGCTAACATAAGAACTGCCTTTAGAAACTTGTATAAGGAATCATTCAGAACCTTGTATATCACTTATATCAGACCAGTCTTGGAGTATGAAGTCCATACCTAGTTAAACACAAGACAATGTTAGAGAAGATTCAGAGGTATGTCATCAGACTAGTCCCAGAACTCAGAGGTATGAGCTTCGAGGAAAGGCTACGAGAGCTTAGCCTCACTTCCCTGGAAGACAGAAGAGTAAGGAGAGACATGATCATCACCTACAAAATTCTCAGAGGAATTAACAGGGTGGACAAAGACAAACTATTTAGCATGGGTGGAACATGAACAAGGGGACACAAGTGGAAACTTAATACCCAAATGAGCCACAGAGACATTAGAAAGAATTTGTTCAGTGTCTTGAGTAGTTAACAAATAGAATGCATTAGGCAATAATGTGGTGGAGGCAGACTCCATATTCAGTTTCAAATGTAGATGTGATAGAGCCCAATAGGCTCAAGAATCTGTACACCAGTTGATTGACAGTCGAGAGACAGGCTGGACAGACTACAACAAAGCCTCATATGGACT